ATAATCAATTAAAGGTTTTATAATGGCGAATATGTATGTCAACGGGATGTGAGGTTGATATTGATGGTGCAAGTCAAAAAACGACTCTAGCTTCTTAGGTGTGCTATATCTATCTCGCGTACTTTATATTTTTGGCTTATTCCACATACTATATGTATACATAGATAGAAAATATAGATTGGGCGGGKTTTTTTCCTTCAATCAAGAGTTTGTATCTAAATAAAGTCTTACTAGTTGGTAAATACTGGGTTTAAAATACTAAATTACCTGCATAATTATCATCGCCTTCTGATACCTGATATTAGTCAGCAGAAAATGAACACAGGTAACCCGCAACTCAAGATGCAGCAATGTTTATGAAGCACAGTGTTTTTTTGTGACCCCGAGGGAAAAACAATAGAAGGAGCCAGGACTCAGCGGGACCACTTACATAACAACTGAACTGTTCATTTTAAAAATCCATTATTATCACACTCTACCCACATTAATTTGGCAATATCACGCGAAAAATTAGTCACGGAAAGCAATAGAGAGGCATTTTTCTAGACGTTTTTTTGTTTGTGTAACAAAGTTTTTATGTTTGTAGGGCGTGTAGACACAACTGAGATTCTGGTCGAGGTTGATGTCTCATAGATTTAGCTTTTAACAGTATGTTACAGAAATCAAACAGCTCAAATGTAGCAGGAAGATGATTGAGTTTTCAATACTCGTACGTTAGTGCACGGTCTTGGTAGCCGGCCTGAGCTCGAGAAGTGTCAAGTTATGTAATTAATGATCCTTAATGTCACGTATTGTATTGGAATGATGGAAAGTAAAACATACCTTCATGATAGAAAGAATAAAATAAAAACCACCTGGAAGAATGTGTGAAAGACAGTACAAAAGATTTGTCGTAAATGCGTACTCTGGAACTTTGGAGATTCTTGATTGCGGAGAGCATCAATTTATCCTTCACTGATTAGAGCACTGTGCATATTAATTTATGAATGGTCACGCAACGTTGGTGAAAACTGGCGCTCGATCGGGGTTAATCTCTGTTGTTAATGAGTTACCTAATTGAACAAACAATGCCATACAATAATTAAAAACTTCAATTGAAGTTGAAAATATAACGCAAAACAGCCAAAATTCAAACGCAACTTTARAAAGGCATCAATTTCATTGGAAAGATATCAATGACGTCGTGGATCATTATATAGTAAATAGTCTAGAGTTATTTTTTTGTAGACACTTGAAAAGTCAAGATTTTTCACTAACTGGTAGGCACTACGTCGAAGGATGGATCGGGGGGGATGAAGCATTAACTGAAACATTTTTTGTGATAGGAAATTTGCATTATAGTTTGTATATCTCACACAACCAAAGGATCTTTAAGCACTTTTTCGTTATTTCTCTATAATTTATTTGACATTAACTTATTTCTTTATTAATATATTCAATACATGTCATGACGTACTTGTCACGAACAATTAAGACGGTCACACCTTCGGTAGCGTGACACTTATGAGTTTTCGTTGCGTTTTGCATAGTACTCTCAGGCAATAAAAACGATATGAAAACCTAACTATATCCATGATCCCTTTGTGCGAAGGGCAGATTTCGTATGGGATTCTATAAGYTGGAAAAGGATTTATCCGATGAATAGCGTTTTTTACCCTTCGTTGAAACGACCGCAGACGTCCATAGTTATTGTTCAAGGTGACACCGTCGCTAGTCCATTATCTTAAAGTTTTGAATTGTCTATTAACATTGTTCTTTACTTAACCCAGTATAACCATGTTGCATGTGTAATATATATATTTTTTACGAAGGCGATGTTGTTGTATTTAATGATCTTATTGTCGTAGACGGTGTTCCCATCCGGTGAAGTTCAGGAGGACCATGGAAGAAGTACAGCTAGAAAGAACAAGTTTAGGACTCATGAATAATTAATGGTAAGAAATTAGCCAATGAGAAAGCTACTATGATAACACGTGACATACCTTAAAACCAATCGCCAGTAGGCCATGTAGAACAAATATGCACAACATTGTCAGAATAGCAATCTACGAAAAACACGTAAAAAGCGTATTTAGTTGTGCGCGGGTGTTCTTGGGTCTATAATTTTGGGATGCTTTTCAACAATTGCGACTTTTACATAATTCTGCKGCCAAAAAGGAGGAGAAATGCAAATGGTTTACGCGTCAACTAGAAGAAACAAAAAGGCGGGRAAAATTTCTTTTCCAGAGGAAATCCAGCCTTTRAAGTTCCGATAGGGATTGCGCGAATAGATTGACAATGGTTTACACAAATGCCGTAAGATATTAAACAATATTTAGTTTTATACCTTTTTGTCATCGTCTTCTACTGCAGGCCAAAACGTCAGAAGCAGCACTGAACCTAAATATCATTGAACGCAAAGTTTAACCTTAAAATCAACAGCATAATATTCACAATTCCCAGAGCTATACATAAGCTTTTGTACAAAAAGAAATAAACTTTTAGCAGTCTACCAATTAATTAACGACCAAAAGTTACTGCGATATTCACTGARGATCAATRATGACTGTTTCTTTGGTTTCTCCGTTTTCTTGCTTGAGAAGGAGAGTGAATCTAAGTGCACGCCAATTTTGAAAGCCCGCAGTAACTTTATGTTGTKGAATCGCCTATGTAAAGTAGCCATATTTTTGAAAAAGCTCTAATTTTGACTTGGTTAAGTAACAAACCTGATAAAACCATTCCTATGATGACAAATATCCATCTCAACCAGTCGATTGGAATCGCCCACAAGATCTACAAATACACAAAACAGCGTTTATTGTAAGTGAATCTTTCTAGTACATCA